CCCCCCAGACGATTCCCCCCCAAGAAATATATATTTATATACAAATATAAAGTAGAAAGTGTAAAGTTTAAAACATTTCATCCATCTTATTAATATTTTTAGTGTGATAATATAACTTCATCATGAAACAAATTATTTTATAACAAATTCCCTTTTCATTGAGTACAAGTACAGGAAGATTTATTAAGTATCTTATCTATAGATATATAGATAAGTATCTAATCGAAGTATAACCACCTATCCTTCAGGTAAAAGTGGGGTAAACAGATGAACAGGTAAACAGATATTTTATAAATATTTTAGTGTGGTGGGTGGTGGTCAAGCAGTTAAGAGTGACAAATAGTCACAGGGATACCTGGATAAGCGAGAAAATCTGTTTACCCCACCTCTCCCTAGAGATGCACTTTGATTCAAGACTTACTGAATCAAGGGGGGGGGGAGAAATAAAGTAATTAAAAGTAACAGTTAATTCATCAAAGTGCTACCTGGATGAGTGAGATAATCTGTTTACCCCTCCTTTACCTGGAGATATATATTCTTTGATCAGATTTTTAATAAAATGTTCTGTACTTCTATCTCGAAAATTTCATGTACTTGTACTCCATGAAAATAAATTGTTTAATAAAATTAATATTATCTATCCTTGATTTGCATCATCACACTAAGAAATATTCAGAAAATGGATGAAAAGGTTTGAACTTTGTACTCTTTACTTTATATTTGTATATAAATATATGTATTCTTCGGGGGGGGGGGGGAATCGTCCGGGGGGAATTGTCCTGGGGGGGAATTGTCCGGGGGGGGGGGGAATTGTCCTGATACCGCTCAGAAGTATTGCGCATGCGAAATACCATGACAAAAACAAAAAAGCTTTAGTTAGGTTCTCTGGCTAAGAACTTAATAACGAACGTTACATGGTCACATTCACACGCCTTACCTTATCAGGAACACTGTTAAAGAATTCTCATGGAAATCCCATTCAACTAAGCCAGGGAACTGACGTTATTTATTATTATTATTTTTTTTTGTGAAACAGAGGCCTGTAAACCCCAGGGCCTAGGTTTAGTAGTCTGACAAAGTGAACGTATATTGCATCACAGACTGATATTTCTACAGCATAACAATTCAAGTTGCCTTTTATTCCCAATCCTTTCTACTGGCACTCGATGGAATAAGAGAACTTTCTTACAGTAATCGCTAGACATTTTAACTTACCAAACAACACAAGGAACGTGATGAACCTCATAAGATAATGTTGATCCATCATGAAGCGTTGGACACCTAGAAGAAAACCATGTCAGTTTTTCTGAAGTGAAAATTTGTGAAAAAAATGAAATTTGTGTTTTTTAGAACACTTATTTTTCTTTTCGACAAAGTGATATATTCACGTCCTAAAGTGGACATCAAGTCACCGAAAAGATAGTTTCCCCAATTGTTTTATGGATTATAGGGACAGCTTTAATATGCCAAACTACGTGCATTATGCGGTACCAGAACAATTGTACATGTACAAAGTGTTATGATCTAATATTTGTACTTTGAAACATATATGCATGTACAAGGTAAGCCCAATATAGCGCAAGAGAAACATCGAAACTCCTGATCTAAGGATTCACGTAACAAAAATCTACCTTAAAACGTTAAGCAATTAAGTCGATATGGCTTGGTTTGTTACTTTTCGCTGTTGACAGAAAAATATTTTAAGTTCCTAAGGTCACAAAAGGCCTACTTACCTGAACAAGGATGTCTCCTTAATAAGAAAATGCCAGAAAGAGTCCGTCGCAGTCCTTCACACTGTAAACCCTAAAACAGCTCTTTCTCTCATTTGTTTGCTCCCCTAACCGCGTCAAACTGTGAGGATTTGAAAGCAGCCCCTAAGCGCAGACAACACGTTGTCTAGCCCAATCGGAAAAGGCGTTATTCCATTGCACACTTCCGGCCGCCCTCGGGCGTTTGCAGACGATCAGAGTTTGGCTATACGCGATTTATATATGAATATATCTCACGGCAAAAGTCAACCAGTGGGATGCTGGCGTTTGCCTTTGTTCACAATCGAAACTGGCAGAAAGCTTCAGACATTCATTGTGAATATGAGCCCAAATGTTGAACCACATCGACAACGATTTTAACCGACTTTTGTGGCATTTAGTCCTTCATAACGTGAATGAAATGATGAACGCATGTTACACCACACGGAACTCTATACTCTTCTCTTTTCCAGTTATATGATCTGATTCGGCGTTTTAATGTACATGTATGTTGTTGTTGTTGTTGTTTTCTTTGAAGTAACAACATGACTACCCCTGTTCGATGCCTGACTATGCCAACAGAATCTCGAACCTATAGGCCTACGTTACCCACACCGCTGTGTTCTTAACCAAATAGTGCAAAGTTCTTGTTTAGCTATACGATACTGTCGTATACGTAATGGTTAAAACATCGGTAAACGGGGTGGGGACCGGTGGTGAAATATGTCGGTATAGGATTCTATCGAAATAAACTTTAGGATGCAACTTTTGGGGTAGGGATACAAAAAGGGCCTCACTTCCCTGATATTTATATTTTATAGAGTGGTTGTATCTAAAGGTAAGGCGGAAAGTTTCCTAATTCGTATGTAGGCACAGGATTCTATGAAAATTGTTGCTATGATTGCTGCAGTTATTAATCAAAAGTCTAGACAACGTTGGTACGTATTTCCGCTATTATAATTCTCCCTACGTTCAGCACACTCCACAAAAACGTGGGTTTTTTCGTCTGAGAAATGTGCCTTCGAGCTAAGAGTTATACCTTTAGGCATTACAATTGTTCCATAGTGTTTTATGGGCTAGCGTGCATATGGTTTTATGATCGAAGCAATAAAATATGAATACAATAACGAGAAAAGGTTTATCTATATTTTGCGAGTTTTTGTGTTCGTATCATAAAAGCTGTGTGTGGCCGACATCCATACTGATTGCTATTCATCTTTTAAAAACGACTCCAACAGCGACATATGAAAAAGCGGTTTGGAAACGATTCCTCTGGCGTCTAGTTGTTGTCATTTTGGGGAGTCTGAAAACCAAGGATTGGGGGGGGGGGGGGGGGGGGGGGCAGTATTCTGTGTCCTTTGTTTGGTCCCAGGAATCACCACTGTCACGTAAATGAATATTTGAATTACAAATTGAAATAGGTATTTATTTCAATATGCTACATACTGGTAGCTCGTGATACCAATTTTCTAATACGAAAATTTCCTATGGCGTCCTTTAGGAAATTGGTCGAAAGTCCTATAAGATCCAATAAAAAATTTGTCCTGAAACCGTGTATTTTAAAAGCAACATGAATTCTAATAGTCTCTTGGGGCACTGAAGGATTTCTATAGTCTTGTGGGATTCCTTTAGAGTCCTGTAGGACGTCCCATAGGAAATTTTCGCAAGGGAACGTTCTCTATATTGCTTATACTGTATGTGATGAGTTCCAATCATTTTTCCATCTCTCTCTCCGACTCCTCCCCCTTCTCTCACACACACTCTTTCTCTCTTTGTCCCACCCTCTCTCTCTCTCTCTCTGGCTCCCTCTTCTCTTTGCCTCCCCCCTCTCTCCCTCTCCCTGGCTCCTCTCTCTTTCTTTGGCTTCCACTCTCTCTCTCTCTCTCACACACACACACACGCACACATGAATTACTTCGAAACAAAGGTTCATTTAATCACGATGGATGATATAAAAATAAGATAGTGAAATCTAAATTTGTTGTTTTTTACCAATTAGATTTACCAGAAATGTATGTTTAAACTTAGACAAGCTGGATATTCTCATATTGAAGGCATGCATCCCTATAAAACTTATAATGCCAGTGTCAGTGATAAGCACAACAATACGCCTCTATAGCAATTGTGATCACTGCATCCATTTCTTTGACCTCTCCAGATATGAAAACGTAATCTCATGTCCAAGAGGGTAAACGTCCCAAGCCGATATAAAGTCGATAAGATAGATAATTCTGTCAATTTCTCTGTTTTAAACACAGATCACTGAAGATTTGCCTTTATAAACACAGTACACTGAAGATAATATGTGTACGGGCATAACTTCATCTGTTTGCCGTCTTGCTCGCAGAATTATGGCTTATAGGTGCTAAACGCACTTATTCCCCGATGTTATCGAGTTGTCCGATGCACGACTTGCCGTTTTATTCTATAGAATCCTTCAATGTGAAAATAAATCAACGCTAATAAAAAAGTGATATAAAACAGTTATGCAAATATTAAACAAAATATGTACGTCATTAATTTGACTCAGTCATTTTTGTGGAAAGATCCATTTACATTTTTCGTCCCCTAACTAGAAAAATCCGAATAAAAAAAAAAAGTTCAAGTACGACATCCGTACCCTTTTATTTGTATTTATTACCCAATTTCTAATCTTAGCAAAACTAAGTTGTCTTCTCATTTGTGCAAAGATAGAATTAGACGGTTCCATTACAATGTAATGAAACAAATACTAAATACCATTCAATATAATAACAGCATATCCTGACCACTATTAACTATAACATAGATATAAATATTAGTAAAATACAATCAGACATGGACCATTCCAAAGTATTTTTTCTTTTGTAATATCTGCCTTTCCCTTCTGTTGATTTTTAAGAGTAATATTTGTATTCAATTAAAAAGAACACAAACATCTGCACATATCAACTTTGTAAAAATAATAATAATAATAAAAATAAATAATAACAATAATAAAACAGCATGATTACAAGTGGCCAATAATTTCACAGACTGGAAAACGTGATACTGGAAAAACACTTTGGAATGAGCCTTATCAGAATGTCCTCTGTTCATCCCAGACCATTTTTTATTTACAGAGCCTATGAAATAGGAACAGTTACAGCAGACTAAATGAATAATGCTGCCCAGATCCTGTAAAGACAGGACACCACGCTGTGTGGAATTTTCAGAACATACAAATATCTTCTCCCTCTTCATTTTTAAAACTTTATATCGCAAATAAAGTGCACAATAATCACAGTTATTTTGCACATATTAACAGCATAGAAGTTTGTCTTCATTTCTGAATGGCCTGTCCAATCTAAAGAACTTCCCCTTTTCGTTTACAATACTATGTTCAACATTCCTTCCTAATGTTAGTAAAAAAAATTGAAAGCTATGATAGTTGTGATATATACATCATTAAACTCATCAAAAGAGAATAGCTGCTTTCTGATTTGCCTATTTCACCACCATGGCTAGATATCTTTTAATCATCATCTTTTTGCCTAGACTTCTCAGCCGTTTCTTCAGTATAGAGATATTCAAGCTGTTACCTCCAATTATTGACAATGGACCCTATACGCCCTCCAAAACTATTTCTCTGTGTGACAAAGCCGAGCTGATGAGCAGACCTACCTGGATTCTCTACCAACTTTTAGTTTTTATATCAGGTTCTTTATATCAGGTCTGGTCTTAGTTCTATCTGGAAACTTCACTTCCCCAGCTTACAGCATATGTGTCTTTGTGGTATATAAAAACATTTTAGCAGTAAAACTGGTCATTTTTTTTTACCTGTGAGTTGAGACGATGAGGAAATGTTAATTTTCCAATTACAAATCAGTAATAAACAAGGTCTTAAGTCTTCAAAAAATGGCAACCTTAATAACTAATAGCATAGATACAATTTTTCTCATTTTTTGGAAGTGTTGTTTTGCACAACAGTTGACAAACATGAAATTTTGCCTTGAATTCCACTAGCTTGCATGATAACTTCAAACTGACCTCTAATATCATGAATTCTGGCATCATTCCTTAACTGGCTTAAACTATTTTTTCCTAGGATAATCACTGTTTTTATAACAGGTTCATTACAACTAAATTTCAATCACAAATTATTCTATCAACAGAACTGTAGTCTGTTCATTTACTTCCTAGTTGATCAGGAAAGAGAATCTTTATGACCAGTAATTTTCATTGGACAATAGAACTAACATTCATGTCTAGAATTCTTCACTGGCCGAAGCAGTAACTTTCTGGTCAGTCATGGTGTCAGCAACAAGCTTTATGACCAGTAATTTTCATTGGACAATAGAACTAACATCCGTGTCTAGAATTCTTCCTTGGCCGAAGCAGTAACTTTCTGGTCAGTCATGGTGTCAACAACAAGCTTTATGACCAGTAATTTTCAGTGGACAACAGAACTAAGATTCGTGTCTAGAATTCCTCACTGGCCTGAACAGTAACTTCCAGGTCAGTCATGGTGTCAACAACAAGCTTTATGACCAGTAATTTTCAGTGGACAACAGAACTAACATCCATGTCTAGAATTCCTCACTGGCCTGAACAGTAACTTCCTGGTCAGTCATAGTGTCAGCGATGGAGTTGATCAGCTGGACAGTCTGGTCAGTGTTAATGGGGTCAGAGGCAGATGGAGGACCCACTATGACCTCCTCTCCTTCATGCTGGATCAGGATATGTCCATCCTCGCCATGGACAGCTATCTGCTGACCAGCCTGAGTTTGACCAAATGCACCCTGAAAGGTCAAGCAATTTAGTGTTGTTATGTTGTATGTATAACATGGACAACTGAAAGGTCAAGGAATTCAGTGTTGTTATGTTGTATGTATAACATGGACAACTGACAGGTCAAGGAATTCAGTGTTGTTATGTTGTATGTATAACATGGACAACTGAAAGGCCAAGAAATTCCATGTTGTTGTTGTATGTATAACATGGACAACTGAAAGGAGAAGAAATTTTAAAACTTAGTAAAATCCTTGATCCTTGCTCCCCCCCTCCCCCTATTTTCCAGGAAAATTCTACATCTTGTAAGTTCACTACTCACCTGCTGCTGCATATCAATAATTTGCTGTAAGATATTCACTGCTGATGCAGTNCTTTATGATCAGTAATTTACAGTGGACAATAGAACTAACATCCATGTCTAGAATTCCTCACTGGCCTGAACAGTAACTTCCTGGTCAGTCATAGTGTCAGCGATGGAGTTGATCAGCTGGACAGTCTGGTCAGTGTTAATGGGGTCAGAGGCAGATGGAGGACCCACTATGACCTCCTCTCCTTCATGCTGGATCAGGATATGTCCATCCTCGCCATGGACAGCTATCTGCTGACCAGCCTGAGTTTGACCAAATGCACCCTGAAAGGTCAAGCAATTTAGTGTTGTTATGTTGTATGTATAACATGGACAACTGAAAGGTCAAGGAATTCAGTGTTGTTATGTTGTATGTATAACATGGACAACTGACAGGTCAAGGAATTCAGTGTTGTTATGTTGTATGTATAACATGGACAACTGAAAGGTCAAGGAATTCAGTGTTGTTATGTTGTATGTATAACATGGACAACTGAAAGGCCAAGAAATTCCATGTTGTTGTTGTATGTATAACATGGACAACTGAAAGGAGAAGAAATTTTAAAACTTAGTAAAATCCTTGATCCTTGCTCCCCCCCTCCCCCTATTTTCCAGGAAAATTCTACATCTTGTAAGTTCACTACTCACCTGCTGCTGCATATCAATAATTTGCTGTAAGATATTCACTGCTGATGCAGTCTTTTCATCTAAACCAACTGTGGACTGAGGAAGACCTTTAAAATAAAATCATATCAAGACTTATTTTTTAAAAATTTCAAACTAGCAGTAACATTTTTTTATAAAACCTAAAACCATTTAATAAAACAAGGCAGCAAAGCTGTCAAATGTACAGACAAAAAACAGAAAATAAAGATGCAAAAAAAGGTCATTTTGTCAATTTTGATGCAATAATAAATAATGCTTAGAATAGCACTGGCAGTCAACACTGAATTTTAATCATGCACAACAGGTAACATGGTCAATAACAGGAGCCGACCCTGAGATATTTTCTGACAGTATTCCAAAGTATCTATGTTGATCCATCCTCCATTTTGATGGTCTTCCAACAGAAAAAAATAGATACCAGTCAATATAAACTTAATAACCTGTCTTCAAGAAGACCCAGAAGATGGTCTCAATCCACCCCTTCAATAAGATTACAGTTTCAGGACCATGAGAGACGATAGTCACATGATGAAAGTCTCAATATTTGAAAAATGATGACAGTGCATAAAATAATTTTATATAATGTTTAAAGACATAAAAAACAATACAATTGCTTATGTGGAAATACAGAAAATGTGCAGAGCCTCGAGCGGATGAGAGTTAAAAGTCACAAATGCAATTGTTTGAGAAAAAATTGTAAAGGAAAACATAACAAAACTAGAAAACCACCGAAAGTGCAGACCTCTGCCAAGGCAGCAATTGTTAATTATTGTTGATTATTGATTGATTATTGAGCCAGACCACCACTAAAAACTAATCATTGTCCTNTGTACATAAAAAGACCTCATTAAAATCTGATTGTGATTATGACAAGGTATGCACAGGTGATAAACTTTCTTTAATGTCACCCCACCTGAACCTGTTCTGCTCCATCGGCTGTGACGATCCTGGTGATCTCGGCATTATCCAGGGCCGAGATGTCACCAACATCTATATGATGACGGATCTTCAGGTGACGTTTCATGTCAGACAGGTTCCCAAAAAGGTAGTCACAGCTAAGACATTTATACACCTGTACATATAAGAAATAAAGATCTGATTAAAAATTTGAAGAGGTACTTCTCAGACATTTGTGCACCTCTAAAAAATTAAGATACAGAAAACAAAGAGGTAGTCACATCTCTGACACATATACACTTGTAGAAAATAATGATCTGATTTATACTAGTAGAGGTAGACACTTCTCAGATCTTTGTACTCCTGAATATAATTTACATACAGAAAATATTCAAACACTTGTTCACCTGTATAAAACAGGGTGAAGGGTAGTAAGAACTCTGAATGGTACCACAATATGTATGAGTCTAAATAAAAGTGTATCTCACGTCAGCTATTCTCTATTCACATTACCTTGGTATTGAGGTGGGTTGTGCCCCTCTGTGTGGCAGTGTTGGCATTGAATACGGCTCCCTTGTGGAAGCGGGTATAATGGATCTTCATGTAGCCCAGGGTATTGGCCGAGAAGTCACAGTGCTCACACACAAATCTCTTGATTATGTCATGGGTCTCCATGTGCCGTTTGAGATGGCTGTGCTGAGTGGCCTCGTAGGGACACCTGGAAGAGGAAGACAGGTAATACATTATATAACAATGATAGCTCATTATATACCATTTCCTGATGATAGCCCATGCTGCATATGACCTGGCTATGGTGAGGAGTTTTATGTGGACATCTTGTGAAGAAAGATAGTTTAGTGTGGCATCTTATGAAAAGGGCAGTTAAAAACTTGACTGTTTTGAAGGAAGTCACATTTCATGAAATCAATATCAGAGGGAGGGAACATTTGATATTGAAAAGAATAATGTAATACCTTAAAATTACCTCATTCTAATAAAATAATAAAATATTCTACAATACACTATTATTAAAATATTTCCACTTACTTCTCACACTTGAACTTCTTTCCATCAGTGTGAGCCCTGACGTGCCACCTGAGTGCCGTCCTGGACTTGTACGCCTTTCCACATTCCTTGCACTGGAATGGCTTCTCCGAGGAGTGGCGCAGCAGATGGGACTGCAGGTTGTTCTTGCTACGACACGCGTACTGACACATGTGGCACTTGTACGGCTTGATGCCCTCGTGAATCCAAATGTGTTTCTGAAGGTCTTTGCTAGTGGCGCAAAACATACGCTCACAGTACGGACACTTGACAGATCTTCGGCCTGGAAAGATGGTGTTTGTCGATGTTTTGATTGGGTGTGTTTGCAACTCACACACACACACACACACACACACACACACACACACACACACACACACACACACACACACACACACAGTTTTCATAAAGTTATGCATAGATCTGCTGCCTGGAGACACCAAGACATAAAAATAACATGAATTATTAAAAATCTGCTGTTCTTTTCTTTCAAAACACATTTAAAGCTCAACATGTCTGGAAACTTGAATGCAATATTATGTCTCAAAACTGTACCCTAACTCATCAAACCTCACCTAATTTATTGTGCCTCTTCATAACATTGGTACAGGCTTTCCTGATATCCTCTGCAGTGTAGGCGGGGTGCTTGATACGCAAGTGGCTCTTCAAACGTTTCTTACTGTGAATGAGAAACAATTAATATAACCAAACATTATATATATATATTTTTTTACAAACATACAAAAAGACACATTAACACTTTGTATCTACACTTAATCTTGTGATCTTAACACTATGGTTTACAAATATTACTGAACATGCTTTGATCTCAAGGACATTCCTAAGACCTAACTTAAAAGCTCCCCAAAAACAAGAAACCTTACCCCTCCCCCCCACCCTCCAAAATCAGTTGCAGATAGGCGTTAAGCATGCATGTCATTGTATGTACTCTATGCTCACTCATTCAACACTCCCTAAAAAAAAAAAAAAAAAACGCTTCAGGAGAAGAGGTCAGTTTCACAAAAACAATTGGAATTTTTAGACCAAAAATTCATAGAAGCCCAATCAAGAAATATTAGTAATAATATTGATCTGAAACATTAGCAATATACAATTTCTTGCTTTACAACAAGCACATAATTCCTTTGATTGGACTACTTCTTATCAACCTTGAGCCCAAATGGACGAAAACTCTAAAAGTTTAGACCAATTTTGGGCTGAAGTACTTTTGTAAAATGCTCTTCCACTTCTGCTTGTTGCCCCTCCCCCCCCTTCCACAATTTGTACCCACCCATTAAACACTTCCTGACATTCAGGGCACTCTAAGGGCCGGCTCTTATGCTTCTGCATGTGGTTCCACAGCTGTGTGCGATTTACTCCCTCATAGTCACATTCCGGACACTGATAAGTCATGTTCTCGTGTTCCTTTTCCACGTGACGCCGCAGGTTGTCCTTTGTACCTGCTTTATACTCACACTCAGGGTGGTCGCACTGGAATGGCTTCTCACCTGTGAATAATAATAATAATAATATTAATAATAATAATAGTAATAATGTACACTAATCACTTGCTTACCAATAACAGATATTCACAGAAGTCTGCTACCTATAAATAACACATTAATATTCTATTTGTCAAAGGGAAATAAATTTATCACCTTGGTCAAGAAATTGATGATGTGGAAGTGGAATTTTCTTGAATTTCACAGCTCTGGGTAGTACTTTTTTTAATCCCTTGGTTTAAATGCTGACTTTTTTTTGTAGCTGAAGCATAATTTCTTTTCTTTTTATCAAAGTGCATAGACAGTATATAGAACATTTTAAGACAAGCAACTAATAGTTCCTAAAGCAAATAACCTAAGTGCCATACCTGTGTGTGTCCTAACGTGAGATTCATATTCATTCTTGGTGTGGAAAAGTTTGCCACAAAATTCACACTCATCATTTCCATACATCTGACGAATCTTGTTGAAGACATCTACATTCATAACACGATACTTCAGCTTTTTCAGGACACTCTCTACTTCCTTCCTGCTTCTAGATTGGGCACTAGTTTTCTCAGCTTCAACATCATCTTGACCTTCTTCAATTCTGCCCTCCTTCTGAGGAGACTGGGCCTGGGTTTCTTGGCCATGTGCTACCTGACCTTCACCCCCTTGACCTTCACCTTCCTGACCTTCATCTTCCAAACCATTTCCTTCGTCTTTTCCCTTCTGCTCAGATAACTCGCCTTTAGCTTCATCCTCGTGTTTAGCACCTGCCTCTGCTTCAATTTTTTCTATGGAATCCAAGAGCTCTTCCCCAGTGGTTGCATTAGCTGCAATATCTGTACTTGTCCCAGCTCCCAAAACAGCCTCAGCAGCAGATTCCACATCCAGGGTTTCCATGAGAGGGCCCAGTGTAAGGAGTTCAAGTTCATCGGCATCTGGTAGGTACAGGGAAACATTGATGCACTGTGGGAATATCACGTCCCACATGAACGTTGCACTTTCTTCGGGGTGTTCTTGGACTACATGTTCTTGCAGCCGGATGGTACTTGAAAACATATTCAGGCAGTAAAAGCAGCGGAAGACAACACGATGCTTGTTGACATGCTTCTCGAAGTAAACCCTACGACTGGAAGTGTGGTCGCACAAAAAGCAGGCATACACATTGGGGTTGTTCTTGATGTCGTGGACAAACAAATGACGGTCTCGATCTACCTTCTTTTTGAATTTGCGATTACATACATGACACATGTACAAAACAGCATTATCCTTAGTGTGGTGCTGCCCACTTATCTGCCGAAGGTATTCTTTTCCATTCTTTGTACGGTTATGGTACTTCCTAACATGGTTGAGCAGAGACTTGTTGGTGTTGTAGCTCCTACGACAGAGCTCACACCTGTTTTTAAAACTGGTGTGAATCCCCTCGTGTTCCACCAGATGGGTTTTGTTGACAGTCTTGAAGTCGCAGTAGAGACACCGGTAATACTGCTCTGTGTGTTTTCTCATGTGGGTGTACAAGTTACCTGGATGAAAAAACATCAAAATCAGTGTTTTAGACATAAGTTTGGGGTTAAAAAAAGTTCTGAATATATATTGTCGGACATAAAACTTCATCAGCAGGAAAAAGGGGTGTGGAATTTAATTAAAAAAGTAAATTATGTGATTTCACTGACAAAAATACATTTCTGATAGTAATGTAAAAATTGAGTCATGTCTTCTGCCTGAATTTCATTCTAGGCATAGAAAGAGAAAGCAAGATTTGCCAAAGAATCACTGAAGAAATCAAAAGATATCTAAACCCATTTTACCGAATGTCAATATTGTCAAGCACAAGTGGCAATAATGTCTAACCTTTAGCATTAGCAGCAAAGTCACACTTGAGGCATTTGTAAGGCTTGATATCAGTGTGAATCAGGACATGGTTTCTCATGTGGGAGATGGTCTTGAAAACCTTGTTACACACATTGCAGGAGTAGATACTGAGCTCACTGTGGAAGTTCCCTCTGGGAGTGGGGTTGGGAGCTGAATAAAATAAAGATCGAGGTTTACCTCAACTTGGTAACATTAAACATTTGAAAAAAAAGAAAAAATAAGTTTCCCACTAAACCCTTCACATGAAAATTATAATAAGAACAGATAATCAACCACCTAATATTAAATCAATCGGAATTTAAATTGTATGAATAGAACATCAGTAACTACAATCAAAAGTCAAGACAGCACACAGATATTAAAATATTCATAAATATATATATAAAATTTATCTGCATGGTATAATAACATGTTAAACAACATCTATGAAAAACAACATGTATAAAGCAAAAATTTAAAAAAAATACCTATAGCTTCCTCACTGACATCTTGCTCAATACGATGGATCTTGAACATTTCATCCACTAAGCCTCCTAGATCAATACCACCCAAATAGGTGTCAAACTCGTCCTTTTCCTTCTCATCTGCAAACACCGGGACATCTGGGATATCATCCCGTACTCGTGGCACATGATCACCAACCACTGCGGGTTTGGGGCGTCCACTTTTGGTCAGTTTTGCACCGGTGGACTCATCGGCTAATTTGAAAGGCAGGACAAAGGTTCGGGGCAGCTTTTCTGGTGGCTGTTGCCCTTCTGGTGGGGAGTCTGCAAGAGATTTGCGTGCTCTTTTCCTTCCTCTTCTTGTTTGCTGGTTACTAGAACCATAAAACAATCTATTCAGGGTAGTATAACATAGTTTTTCCTATCATGCTTAATCTTAAATGAAATACAAGTGTTTCTAAACACTTAATCCGGCTAAAACTTGTCCACATCAACACAAGACTAATTTTACAGCATAAAATTGATGAACACAAGTGAAAAAAATAATAAAAATTTTAAAACACAAACACACATTCTCAGAGGTAAAATAAGAAAAAAAAAAAAAGACTTTCTGAAGTATGTCAAACCACAAGTATAAAACAGCAGTATCAAAAAACCCACCCTGTGTAATCCTTATCGTCTAAGTCATCTTCCTCTTCCTCTTCCTCCTCCTCCTCCACATCCTCCTCCTTATAATCCTCATCCTCATCCAAATCTTCGCCCTCCTCTACTGCTTCATTCCCTCCAACCTCTCCACTCAGCTTGTTAATGACTTCCTTCCTGGTGATGTCAATATAGTCGCCAGTGGCCAGGCAGGCATGGGAGTTGAAGTGGCGCTCTCTAGTGAAGGATTTGTTGCAGCGAACACAGAGAAATCTGCCATCTGGACCTTAAACAATTTCATGATATTTTACAGTTCAAAGCCAACTAGAATGATAAGATATTCATCTGAAAATTTATAAAGACTAATTTTTTTTCTTACAAGCTTTACAGTTGTCTGAAGCCTCTTAATAAAGGCTTTCTTCACTCAATAGATGCAGCACAAGCTCAATTAAAAATTCTCTGATTGGCTCAATCCTTATTTTCTTATTAGAGTAAACATTGTTTAAAGGAAGGTAATGCTAGTACATGTGTTAATCAGGTAAGAAATAACTCACCTATTTGTGGGACACTTGCTTTCTTCTTCTCTGGGGTCAATTCTTCTTCCTTTTTTTCTTTCGGTGCATTCTTTTCCTCTCCTTTGCGTGGCCTACCACGCCCTCTTCTGCCAGTTCCTGGAGCTACAACAGATAAAGTGATCTTTGCTGAGTAAAATGTGATGCACCAAGGACATATTAGGTTAAAACTTCAAACATACATTTCATTATCTGTTGACAAAGTGATTCCTTTCCTGTCAAGCTGCAACCCCCTCATTAATTAAGGGAAAATCATACTACAGATAAACAAGATCCACACCAACCTTGACTCTATTTTGTTTAAAACAACAAAATACCTGAAGAAATTCCTCACCTGGAGCTCTTTGTACTTTAACTGACTGCTCCTCTCCTCCAGGACCAGAAATATTGAGAATAATTGGGACATCTGAAACAAAAACAGCCACAGTCAAATGCAGTTTGGCCTATGCTCATGTGATTAATAATTAGGAGATTCTCTGTAAGTGTGTGTGGGCATGTGCACACATGCAAATGTCTAGCCAGCATCTGCATGTCTGTATGCATAACTATACATAAACAGGTATATACATGTGCTCCCTTTTTGTGCTTCTGGATTCAAGAACTTACCAAACTTTAATCAATTTGAAATGTTGCTCTCTCTCTATATCTCTTACACCCACTATACTCTAGTAAACAATATCTTACCATGTACTTCCTCCTCAGCTTCTACCTCAGTCACTTGTGCAGTGACAACAGTCCCATTAGGTTCACCACCACCACCACCATCTTCCACAATGGCCACTGCCTGCGCCTCTCCTAGAGTGGTCACTACCAGGTGCTTGTGTTCTTTAAGTAAATATACATACACTGAGATCAGCTTTATATATGAAGAAATGTACGTAATGTACACTTGACACTTATGCTATTTCATTAAGATTTAACCACCCATCCACAATCTCTTTTTAAAAAATTCAAGATACCCAATACTAGCAAAGTGTGGCAAAAAGCCCCAAGCTGCATTGAAATTATTTTTTATGTAGATAACTACTGTGTACATGGAAAGGAGGAGAGAACACTTAAAAAAAAAAAAAAAAATTAAATACTCCCCCTCCCCACCTATAAACTGTGTCCTCCCTCCTTGAAATCCTGCCTCTGCCAGGGTATTTATGCTGGTACTTCAAAGGGCACCTCTATTTCCCTTTGCCTGTATCCTAATATACTAGTATATGCCTTCTGCATCTTCTTTGTTCTCTTATATATAAGGGAAACACAAGTGCAGTTGTTCGAAACACTTCTGTAATTTGCACGAGAATCTGCCCTCCTCTTTCAACTAACTAGAACATAATATGGCTGGACCCTTACCCTCCTGCCCCTCACCGCTAACAGAGACATCACAGGCACTGTTCTTGTGTTCCACAAACTGGTTGATGTCAAAGAAACACTGGCTGCATTCACCGCAGATGAAAGTATCTGGCATCTGAAAAACATCCAACATTCAAGGATGAAAAATGAGTTAAGTTACTTTTACGAGTATCACAAATTTATTGTATAGTTCTTGCATTCCACAAACAAGACTCTAATCTAGGTTTTTAAAAACCCATTCAAAAGTGGATAGACATGAGCTTTTCCCAAGAAAAAAGTAGGAAAAGCTTAGTGCATAGCATGTCAGTGCATCACCTCCTGGATTCCACATTATGTCATTAAAGATGCATACAAAGTCAATTTTTTGTCACAAAAACCAACTAAATGCCAGCATATAGTTTCAAGTAATATAACTAAGAGAATTGCCAAAAGGCATTGTTTAATTTTACCCGAAAATGATGTTTGAATGGATTTTTCTGATGGCATTCTAAGCTGTATGTCATTGGGGCAGGAAAGTAGGTCACGAAAGTTGGTTAAATTTCTGACCAAAAATTTAAAGGAAGGAACAGTCTAAAGGTCTTTTATGGCCGATGGAGTGATCTATTCAGTTTATCCCTTGGCATGTCGAATTTATTCGAGTCGTATAAGAATCTAGTAGAAGTGGTTTACATGTGTTACTGGGAATCCACGCTCCACCGATGCTTGGTTTGTATGTACCTTTAAGTAGCAGTGAATAAGAAGAGACATGGTTGAGGATTAGGGAGTTACTTTACTATTTTTCAAAAATTTATTTAACTCAATACTTTGATTTGACTGCAGTCAGCTGCTTAGGTTAGAAATTTTTTACTATGAGCAGAGTTCATTTCAGGTTTTTGGCAAACAAAGAGTCTGTTTCAAAAACAGGTAAGCATATGAAGATATTTTATTAAAACATTTGTAATATACTATTAAATTTTCTTATATTTACTTAACATCTTTTCCAAGAATAAATTAAAGCACTCAATTGATATATAAATTTCACCTTGTAACTTTGAAATAATAGCAGAAGTTTTGCAGCATAAATCAACATACATTGCACTTAAAAGTTCAAATGCTGCACAAGTTAAAAAATTATGTATAACGCAACAGTGCACTGCAGATCTAGAGTTGTTTTCCCCAAGTTATAAAGGAAGCCCTCAGTGCCAACCAAACCCTGAAAATCCTGATATTTTCAGAAAATGTTGCAGGACACTCATTCAATATATATATATATATATATATATGTACTAGTAAGCGGACATGTATTCTGTCATTCATTTCTTTGGTCTTGGCAATTTACACTCAGAGCTGCATGTATCTGGATAATTGAATTTCATTTTGGACTCGGCATATATAAGGGTGCATTCCCAGAGATTTAGATTTAGATGGACCTAACTCCCTGGGCGTTCACGCTAAATTGCAGTCAGCTGAGCGTGCACAATAGTTAATTACCCCCTTACAGCTTTTAGTAGGCGGGACAGACGCTTAAGCTGGCTAAGCTGACAATAATCTAGTGAGACTCCCCACAGGGATAGATCGCTCTAAAATCTATGGGAATGGGGTCTAAGGGTCTCAGTAGTACAGAGTCAACCAATGGTGACTGCATGGCCGGGATAGACCCAGGCTCAGTAGATGCATAAAGAGCACTCGCACAGTGAGCAAGCATCCCAAGCATGATCCCTAGTCAAGCCAGGCATTTTCTCCCAAAAATGCTACAATATGGTGGCAGCAGTGGACTCTGTCTTTGGGCTTTGAGGGGAAGGAGTAAGTATAGTGACTGGCAGGGGTAAATCTGGGCTAGATCATAGCTCAGTGCCATGGTGAAGGACTGGCTACAGCATGAAGAGCAAGTATTCCAGGTTCAATCCCTGGTTGAGTCAGGCATCCCCCCCCCTCCCACATTTCCAAATTCTTCAAACCCTCCATTGGATCAATCAGTTTTGTTTCACTGGTTATTAAAAAACTGAAAACTGTTAAATTTCTACAGGCTAAGTAAGCAGGTAGCTTAATGCCTAAACATATCAAAGGGCACATTGAAAAAATTCTGCTAACTGTCACTATTCTATGGTTTCAGCTAATGGACCCATGAAGTTTGATAGGTCATAGGTTTGAGCAGGATTTTCAAATAGGGAAGAGATCACTAAAACAGCACATTGGAGAAAACACATAAAATTTGATAAAAACTCGCGAATCTTTCATTAATTTAGGTCCCAAATATTAAAATAAATTGTGCATCTTGAGTCCGATACGGTAATATATTACTGCCATTAACAGCAGCTCCACAGAGCGATGCGAAACAATTGATACTAACTTAATAATATCAATATTTAAGTTGTTCCAGTCATTTGAGTTTAGCTACTGTTAGAAAACCAAAATACAAAAAACAACACCCGAATTAGCAGACAGCATTTGGCGCAAAGTTGCAGAGTTCAGGCTTCAGCCAAGGCATAATTGCGACTCGGCTATGCCCATAAGAACTTGCCTAAAAATGACTATTTCTACCATAAATAGCGGTCATTATAAATGATACACAATCACAGGACCTTAGCACCTACCGTAGATCGTTGATTTCTGAACCATGAAAAGTATTACTGGTCATAAAATTCTTCCAAATCGCGGCTGTGAATTTCAATATGGCTTCCAACGCTCAGATCACGTGACATTAAAAAATGGCGGAAATTGACAAACCACGACCGGCTGTGTGGATCCACGCCAGGCAGAAAGACGATCCGACGCAAGGATTTAACCCAGAATTTTGTGAAAGGGTCGAAAAACACTTTGACATCATTTGCCATAAAGATCTTGTAGCAAATCCAATTTTAGGAGCAAACATCGTTGGTGCCTTAGTCCGTGGTTCACGCATGTATTTGGAAAATACGCTGGATTTGCTCCCAAACTTGAAAATTATCGCCAACAATGGCGTAGGGGTTGATCATATAGATGTTAAGAAATACAATCAGCTTGGAGTTAAAGTTGCCAATACCCCAGATGTTCTCTGCGATTCCGTTGCCGACATGGCTGTGACATTGATGTTGGCGTCTGCAAGAAACCTTATTCCAGGTAATGGGGGAGGGGGTGTCTAATTCTGTGGCTCCCCCGATGTGAATCTCAATCAGATATTTTTTCCAATACCAATCTCAATCAGATATTATTGTGGCGCTTTTTTGCTTTAAGTGGTCCAGACCCCTGTGCAATTTCAAATATGCACAAGTACTTTTTCATGCACACTAGCTCTGGCTGTGTGGGAATGCATGTTAATTAAACTTTAGCACGAAAATTCATGTGTTAGCACTCCTATTGATGAATCTGATATGTACTGTCTGTGCACAGACAGTACACATCAGAATCGTCAATAGGAGTGCTAATGCATGAATTTTCGTGCTAGTTTAACTTTAACAAGCTTAAGATTAATACTTCAGCACTCCTGTTTGCAGTTTCTGAAATGTACTGGCTGTACCAGTTAAAATACATATCAGAAGATGTAAATAAGAGTGCTAACTCACACATTTTGTCCAAATTAAGCTTTTAATTGAAGGGGAGGTCTGCTGATGCGAAGCCCCCCCCCCCCCCCCCCCCCCCCCAACTTGGTGTGGGTTCGGGACCCGATGAAGGGCCCCGAAAAGTTTTGGTATTTTAGAGGCCATTTGGTATGGTTTAGAACTAAGATTCAGCTAGTCAAAATTATAATTTTAAAAGGGGACCAGAAATTGAAGGGGGGGGACCCCCCTGACCCCCCCCTCTAAATCCTCCACTGTACTGGGTATTGTTTGTTTTTTAATTTAATTGACTTTGTTACATATATAAATTTTTATTGGTCTGCATATGATATATGTAAAGAATGTGCAGAGAAGTAAATTTGTGTTGCTTGCCTTTTGTTTGACTGTTACTACGTAGTTCATGTATGCTTGATACTGAGATATCTTTTTTAATCAAGAGCAACATGATTTTTTTAATACTATAAATTAACAGGCATGTTTTATACTATTTGTAGGTGTCAAGCTAGCCATGGGTTCTGAACCAGTCCAAGAACTGAACCAAAACTGGCTTGGTAATGATGTCTGCTTTGCCACACTGGGTATTGTTGGGATGGGAGGAATTGGATTCAAGATTGCGCAGAGAGCAAAGGCTTTCCAGATGAACATTTATTACCACAACCGGAAAAGAAGGTACTGGTAATAATTTTTATATAAAATACATAAATTTAAAAATGTAAAAAAAAAGAGCAGACAAGCATATACATCCTCAGTCTTCTAACTTTTTAAAAATGAGCAATCTATACCTCAGGTTCTGTTAGATCCAGACCTTAAGCTTGTTTGGTTACTAATTTAAGATTTATTCTTAACAAAATAATTATCTGTTGGTGTTTTTTTACACTTTAATTAATTGAAAAGTCTAATTTTTTGTGTTATCACTAGCAAGAAATTGATAAATAATCTGTGACATTTAATTGTTTTCAGGAGTACAGCAGAAGAGTCTACTGTAGGGGCCTCATACTGTGCCTCGCTGGAAGAACTGCTTCCCAAGTGTGACTACCTCATCATAGCTTGTCCACAAACTCCAGAAACGGTCGGGATGTTCTCTGAGGCTAGGTTCAAACAGATGAAACCAAGTGCTACAATCATCAATGTTGCCAGAGGTGAGATGATAATTTTTTTTTATTTTTTATTTTTTTTTTTTGGGGGGGGGGGGGACTCAAATAAGGAAGCAATTATGAAAAATGGGTACCATTTTATTTGTTTGCTTGTGTCATTTTGTTTTGGTTGATTCTTGGAAAATCGATGCAAAAGAATTTTCTTAACCTCAGCTTTTTAGTGAATTACATATTTTGGCTGAGATATTGTATGTCATATTTTTTAATTACTTTTAATAAAACATGTAATAGCAAAAAAGTGAAAATGTGATTTTGCATGAAGGCATATTTGAGTCACTTTTTTTCTTTGTTTTTTAGGAAAGATTATTGACCAAGAAGCCCTGTACACCGCACTGAAGAATAAGACAATAAAGGCAGCTGCATTAGACGTGACGTACCCAGAGCCTCTCCCCAGGGACCACCCCCTCCTCACGCTGCCAAATATCATCATATCACCTCACACAGGTTCTGCCACAGTGGAGACGAGGAGGAAGATGGAGATGTTGATGCTGGAGAATGTTTTGGCTGAGGTAGAGGGAAGGCCTCTGCCAAGTGAAGTCAAAGGATAAAGATTTATTTCAGTTTGCTCAAGAGTCAGGGTTCACTGCCAAATTTTGTTGCAGGCATCGCCAATAAATAATGCTTTATTGCTGTGATCAAAAATTTGAAAAAAGAAAATTAATGATATTAATTTTTTAATATATTGGTTTTGACAATCATTTAAGTATAGATATGACCTACTATATATTTTTTAACAGTTTTACCAATGTTATTATCTTTTGATCTAGGGTAGATTTTTGTTTAGAGTATACATGCTCAATTGTTTTATGCAAAGGCAATAATGATTCATTCCTGTAGAAATGCATGCAATTGCAATTATTTATCAGACGAGAGACAGTGCTAGTGTCAAATGATCATTGGGAAGTGGGTACTAGTATAGTCATCCTGTGAATATATTAGGTATTTTTAATGATTAATAGTTAACTTGCACAAAATTATTGATTTAATGTGCAGAAAATGAAAGAAGGTTAAAGGTGATACCTAATTGTTAGCCAAATAATATACTTTGTTGTAAACAGTTGTTCTTGATTCAGAACATTTTCAAATTTTTAAACCATCGAGTGACAAAATTGTGCACATTACCTTTTAAATTCCTTTTGTGTAAGGGGTAGACAAGTAAATTATTGAAAATGTTTCTAATGGAGTGCAATATTTCTCTTTTATCTAGTCTTGCAATGGATATATTTATCACTGGTGCTGGTATAAATGGAGAATAACAAAAGAGCATTGACCATGAATGTTTTTGTAGTAATTCAAATAATATCCAGATAGTTGAAATCTTTGTAATTGTTGAATAAAAGCTTGTTACAATGTTTTGAATGTGTTTGTTCTTGGTAGTTTGGTTTTATGCATACATGCAATTTACATGGTGCTGTAAATATGATACATCATTAGCGGTAATTGTTTCCAGTAATTGTCCATTCTGTTTTTGAAGGCGTTAGTGAATGGATTCAGGTAGTTTATTATCAATAAATTGCCCCTCTGTTAAAAAAGGTAGCTAGTATGTTTTACGTTTCTTGCAAAGTTATATCTGTGACATGTACGTGAGATTTTGTCGGATCCAAAAACTATTCGCAGAGAAGGCGCACCACGCTCGACTGTCACCTGGTAGCACGAATTTTATGCGTCAGCACTCTTGTCGACGATTTTAATATGCAGCCTACGCCGAACAGACATATCAAAAATCGTCAATGGGAATGCTAACGCAATAACTTAAAACAAAAAAACAACAAAAAAAAAAAAAAAACAAAAAAAAAAAAAAAACGCTCGACTTCCATACCAACCATAATACAAAAAAATTACACGTATTTCTAAAACGGATATAATAAAATATGGTCACCTAGCTCATGTACCTGTGCCTTATTATATCGTCTCTATGGAGGTAGCCTACATGTATATGGCGGTTCTATGAAATTCGTTTGAAAAAACTTTACCGATTTAGATATTTTTCGGTTTTTTTTTTATTTTTTGCGTTATGGCCAGCAAGTATGGTAGTCTAGAGTAGTTTAATATAGTTTCCGGGTTAATTTAAGTTGACCGTCGTGCGTGGGGTGCACACGTCACCACAGGTCAATGTTAGCAACGGATCAAAACATTTACCGACACGTGACAGCTCAAAAAAATCCGCGAGAGGTTTCATTTTCCACTCATTTGGCTTTAAAACCCTTATTTCCGGATACTTCCTGGGATATTAGGTGAGTAGTTTTTTTTGTCTCACTCATAACAGTAGCACGGAATTAGACAAAGCTGCATTCTGGGAGTATTTATTATGGGATCTTCCAGTTTCACTTTTGCTTTCTTAATTTTGCCTTGGTGTACATTTACACATAAAGCTGCATAGGTTTTCCTATAACAAAATATCGGGTTTATCAACACATGATAGTGAAATTGACCTTTGTTCCACAACGGTCTAATAATACCCAAAATCACATCTGAATAACAGATGTACATTAAATATTATTAATGTTCAAAAGGGGGTGTGGAAGGTAGACAAAATATGTCGGTCTCCCTTCCTTCAGTTCCTTGATATCCCAGATATCCAGGCGTTGTCAGTGCCAATGTAGAATCATATATATATAATACATATCTAAACTTTGTGCACATTTCCTGCCAGTTGCCACAGAGGACTGGGGATTACACTAATGTATATAAGATTATAAAGCTTAAAAAACATTGAAAACATTTGACAATCAGAATTAAGCAAATTTTTCTTCAATCAACAGCTAATTATTGAAATTGTTTACCTTCAATATTTTGATGTCTGCCAGAGTATCTTCATCAGGGAATGGGGCTATCCAGGCAAACATAGATAGACATCAAAATATTGGGGGTAAACAATTTAAATATTTAATTGGCTGTTGATTGAAAAAAATTACTCTATTAATTCTTCGGGGTCAAGTTGATACTCCCCTAAACCATCACTCCCCCGCTATGATACTGCCTCGCACCAATAATTCCCCCTTAATTAGTAAATTTCTGTGTATTATGTGCATCGATACAAGCCCACACAGATAGATCCAGCACCAATAATCCCCCCTTAATAAGTAAATTTCTGAGTATTATGTGCATCAATATGACCCCACACCAATACATACCCAGTAAAATTGCTGATGTAGGCGCATCGTTACTCCCCTACACCGATACTCCCCCACATTATTGCTTCCTTGCTTCGATCCTGAGGGGGAGTGTCAGTGCGGGGGAGTATCGGTGCAGGGGAGTATAACTGGTGCGGGGATGTATCAGTGCGGGGGAGTATCGGGACGTATAGGGATGTAACCTATTCTTCTAACATATTATACTCAGTAGCACAGCTGATAACATTCTTCTCTGATTTTGACAATCTTTTGATATTAATCAAGTTTACCTCCAAATTCCAGCTTTACATACCAAATACAAAATATACTGCAGGTATAGAATTGATGATGCATGAGCACCTGATAGAAAAACTTCAGCATGCAGAACAAAAACAAACAGAAGAATCTTTTCAAGAGTGCTGCAGTAGAGTTGCAGATATTTTTGCTGAGGCAAAAGAAAATAAACAAATACATTTAACTGTAAGTATAATTTCGTATTTATATATTTACTTGAATTATAAATGCTAAAGTGATTGTCAATTGTTTTTTAGTCTTGTTTTTAAAGAAGCACATTACATTTAGAGGACCAAAACTAAGCAGTAGTAAATTATCTCAAAAGAATATGATCAGTATTTAGTTGCACTAATTTCCACAGTTGCTTATACAAGCACCAAATAAATAATATTTATTTTTAATAATTGAAATTGTATAATGGCGCAGTATGTGTGTACTTGTGTGTGTGTGTGTCTGTGTGTGCCTGCATGATCGATGTGCATGCACAAACAGTAAAAATTCAATAAGATGTTTTTGTTGCATGTTTTTCAGGAATTTAGCACTGATAATTGTGAATTACCAGTTGATACATATAATTATGGTCCTCAAAAAAAATATGTCAACCTAATAGGGGATGACATATCAGAAAAAGTGCCTGCAGAACTGATATCAGGTCCTTCTCCTGGGCAGCAGCTTTACAAAGTCAAGGTTTGTTGCATTTAGGGTGTGTTCACAATGGGACTTTTGTAGTAGGTATTTTGAACTAACTCTGAAGGCACTCTCACTGAATACCATCAGATGAACATGCCTTCTCTTGTTTCCAACGTAGGCCCCATTCAGAATAGGGAACTATAACTATAGTCCAAGGGTCAAATATGGCCAACCCACTTGAATACTTCCCCAATGGATATCTATTCAGAGTCTATCAGACATGAGCTTTTTCTGTGGAATCACAGAATTCCACATTTTTACATGACCCCAGAGCAATTAAACCCCAAAATATTATGTAAGTTGTTTGGTTTCACAATAAATGTTTAGAGTTTTTTTTTTTTTTAAGTTGGGCTCATGTCTGGTCTATTAGCAGATTAGATGGCAAGCTTTGTAGTGGGTCGCCATGCATATTTGACCCTAGGATTAGTTATAGTCCCCCATTCTGAATGAGGTCATACTCTAATCAGCTGCCCTAAAATCACCAGCTTTTCTGTATTTTAATTAACACCAGGAATTAAGATGTGTGTTTTTTCTCTTTCTCTGATTGCATTCATTGAGAGTCGATGTGGAGTTAGTTTGAACTACCTATTATGATAATTTCATTGTGAACACACCCATATCATGCATCCCAGATAATTGATTAAAAAAGTACAGTACTTATTTAAGTCAAATTAAATCCAATTTTCAATTATATCAATTATACGATGACAATACAATACAATATCTTAATTATTTGCCTAAATCTTTTCAGATCTGCAGCAAAAGAATGCTGTTTTTGTTGGCAAAATTCCTTGTTATATATGGCAGTTTGGAATTTGTCTTCGGTTGTGTATTCATGACAGTAGACTGCAGCATGATCTTCTTTTTATATCCAAGCATGGAGGGTAAGTGATACATATTTCTCAAGTAAATTTCAGCCTCCAAATATAAAAAAAGATGTTAAGGGCGAAAAAGTATCTTAAGCAGCAATTTCAAGCTATTACTGTGCATATATATATATTCATTGATTAATTATATTGATAAATGCAACCACCATTTAGGGATATTGTATGTTTACAAACAGTAATCATACTTATCAAAAATTGTTCATCAGAATTTTGCTTTCATTGATCTTTTATTCTCTTAATCATGTTCTGATCTGTCCATAGCTGCATGTACATGTAGTAAACTTGGAAGTTAACATTTTTAGGCAATGATAATTTGATAATTCTCAGTTTGAAATAAATTGTATGTAACATTTTCAATTCAGTTCATTTTTGAGACTTGCAAAGGAAGAAAAAAGATGCCAATTTTTCTTTTCAGCTTTGTTATGGCAGGGTGTCATAGACTGGCGTATCAACAGTGTTTTTAGTCATGAAAAGCTTTTTGCTGTCATCACCTCTATGTGGACCAAATTGGCAACCTTTCACAGGAAAAGGATCAGCCCTGGTCCTGTCAGCCGTGAGTGCCATAGAAGGCCTTCGATCATTATTGTACCACCAGCGTAGGCGCTGGCGGTACATGCATGGTCTTAGTCCCATCCGGATCGTTCTGCCAGCTCCGCTGGTTCCGCTGGCTCCACCGGCATGTTACCGTTACCGCTTCTCCTTTTAGACTATAAGGGCCTGTCTACCTATCTCTTGGATTTAGGTCACGTATAATCTCAACTTGATCCAGGTAAAATTTGGACTTTGTTGGTGCTTGGGTCTAGGTGTGGCACTCATTGCAATGCACCCTTGTCCAAAATTGGCAAAATTAAATCCTAATTATCTACCATACCGAAGGAATATTGGGAAAAATTTCTACAGACGGCTGATGGAAAGTCATATGTGGAGATTTCAAATATATGCCCTTGGATTTGACCTTTGACCTTTATTTGAAGGTGAAACGGGCCAAAATTTAAAAAAATATATTTGCACTGATATTCAAAAACTACATAGACCTAACCTATAATATTATTGGCAGGTGTTACCCTTCAGGAAATCTTTCATCTCCGTGAGTTTGGGGTCAATCGGTGCATTTTCACTGGAGCAGCGGCCAATTAGATGCCAAAACAGAAAGCTCTCTCTAATTCTGGAACCGTTAATGCTAGAGAGCTCTTCTTTTTTGCATTTGATAGGTATGCATAAATGCATGGTAGACCCTTTTAACAAGTAATCAAATCAATTTTCCAATGTTATCATCTCAACCTTCCTCAACAAGGTACATAACCTGTCTTAATTCATGCATGGAGAAAAATGCCACTCTATTATTTAATATGGTTTTTGGATTTATTAGGAGATTCAAATTTTTCATAATCAAGACAGATCTTGTTTAACTTAAAAACAAGTTATTAAATTTAAAAAAAATCAATCAAGTGTCTGAACCAATTAGAATATTCCTCAATTATTGGCAATGCGCTGTATGAATTGTTCAACTGCATGGCATGACTATACAAGCACAACGGGGCCTCAACCATCTTTTTTCGGAAAAATAAAACTGCAGTTTTTACAGTGTATAGTACTATATAAAGTTACAACACGAGTCGTCCACTGTATGTGAAATATAAGGATGTAATTATATTGAGGCACAGCCCAGATATAATACGCTCTTGTATGTCACATACAGTGGGTGATGAGTAGTTAATTGTAACTGACTTAATACCACGGCTGGGGCTTCAGACAACAGGATCAACACTCCGAAGCGTATAAAAATGCAGGCAAACCTGTATGCGAAGTACAAGTGCAATTATCCTATTGTTTGAAGTTCCACTCGTGGTATAAGTATACTTAAAATGTACATACATTGTAGACTTTGCAGTGTATATATATAACTCTTTGAAAATATATGTAAAGTGTTCTGTATTTGCAACGCACATGCAGGTCCACACTATATATGCACACCAGTACGTATATACATGTATATATTCTGTAATCATGATTTTGCTTTTATTTCAAATGATTTGTTGCACAAAAGCTGGCATTATTATCAACTTCAACTGCTTATATTAATAGTTAACTGAATCATTTTCAGTTGGTGACATTCTGATGAACCCAAACACGTTGAATACTGTGTTCATTAACTTGAACAAGATGTGTCCTTTAACAGACGGGCAAGCAGTGCTGGATGTTTTGCGTTGCACCAAACTAACTATTCAACTGCTGTTGCCTAGACTCTTTCCTGCCGAGCGGGTCAATGAATTGTGTGATTTTCCTTTGACTGCAGAAAACTGGAAAACATGTAGTGCAAACTTGGTAAATATGATTTTGAATTGGCAGTCCACTTTTAAAGACAGTGAGTGTAATTGATTGACACGGTCCAATTTTTTAAAGAGCTATGTGTATTAATTGTTCAGGAACATACTGTTTTTTTTTTATATTTGTGATAAATTTTTTTAAAGGAATGAATAGATAATTTTCTTGTTATATATTGAACATTGATGTAGATAATGGCATCTTTCACATAAAATTGTATATGTATAGAACTTAAAATGGAAATTTGTATTTCTTTTGCATGACTGTAGGAACCAAGAGTGTTGGAGGTTTTGGAGAAATCAGTTTTTGAGCAAAGTTCTGCTTTTGAAGTGAGAATCTTATGGGGATTGACTGAGCAGTCTGTTGGTGTTCATGCAATAGCTAATACAGGTACCACTCAGCAAGTAAAACTACCTTTTGTGTTGTGTACACTGAACTTTTAAATCCACCAGAATTAATATTCAAGGGAATTATCTTGTGAAACATTCTTCTGTGCAGATATATAATGCATCTATGGACTTTGCATAAAAAAAATAAAATCTCTTTTTATAGTAAATTCTGATGAGGTCCTTTTAATTTATCTGTAGGGCTTACCAAAGCAAACCAATTGAGTTGTTTCATATTGTCGAATAGATTAACTGGATAAAGGGAATTTTTATGAAAAGCGCTCTTCATATCATACCTTAATTTGTTTTTAATATGACTAGTACCAGACCTTAAATTATAGACATGTAAAAAATAACATCAAAATATTTTATACATCTCCTTAATTGCCATTATTTATTTTTGACTTTAGATGTGTGTGGTGATGTTGCTGGCAGTGTATCAGGTGAGACAGAATGGGTCAAGGAGAAAGAGAACTGTGCTCAGTTTTTGAACCAACAAACAGCCAGGAAAGGTTAGCAAGCAAATGATCCAACTCAATTCTGTGTATATAAATGTTTAAAAAAATTAATGAGTCACATATAGCTTAATGGAATAAAGTTAGAATGAAAATTTTCATTTCAGCAGCAGATCAAAATATATATCATAATTACTGATTAGCAAATACCATTGTTAAAATCCTACTCTTTAATTGTACCACCAGCGTTAGCACTGGCGGTACACATGGTTTCGGTCCCGTCCGGATCGTTCCGCCGGCTCCGCCGGCTCCGCCGGCTCCGTTGGCTCCGCCGGATGGCTACCGGTACCGCCTCTCCTCCTAGACGGTAAGGGCCCCCGTACCCCTCTCATGGGTTTTGGTCACCTATAATCTCAACTCGTTCCCCGTAAAATTTTGGCTTTTTCGGGATTGGGGGCTGGGGGTGGGCCTCATTGCAATGCACCC